GCTTATCCCAGGTCCTTGGGAAGGACTCAATAGGTGGATAAAAATGCCAAATCCAGTGTAAACATCTGGCTGACTGTGCAACCAACAACAACGACAACAATGATAATACCTGCCATGTAACACCCCATACTTAACAACTGTCGATAAGAAAGACAAAAAAGTCTGGATAGTGGACATTGCAATACCTGGAGACAGCAGAAGAGAAGAGAAAGAACTGGAGAAAATCACAAAATACAAAGACCTGCAAATAGAAATACAATGACTATGGCAAAGAAAGCAAACATAGTACCAATAGCAATAGGCCCCTTGGGTGCAACCTCAAGTGGACATTGCAATACCTGGAGACAGCAGAAGAGAAGAGAAAGAACTGGAGAAAATCACAAAATACAAAGACCTGCAAATAGAAATACAATGACTATGGCAAAGAAAGCAAACATAGTACCAATAGCAATAGGCCCCTTGGGTGCAACCTCAAAACATCTGGAGCTCCCCTTGAAAACCATCAGCATTGACAAAATCACCATCAGCCAATTGCAAAAGGCAGCTTTACTTGGAACAGCTTACATCCTGCGACGATACCTTTAACACCATCAAACAACATCTGCCTATTCCAGGTCTTTGGAAAGGACTCAATAGGTGGATAAAAATGCCAACCCAGCCAAAACATCTGACTGACTGTGCAATCAACAATAATAATTGAAAGCCAAAAATATAGATTAACAAGGAACTCCCTTTACATGGTGAGCTGAGGGCCGATAATAGATGGGTCAATGAGGCCATGGACTCAAGACATTTTTGAGCCTGCCTGAAGGGAAGGACAAAATGTCACCTCTCCCATTGCGCCTACCAGACTGGCAGTGGACTCTTCCTTTAACCATGGGTGATAGATCTGCATCTTTCAGGCCTATGTGAAGGCATTAGGCTAGCTTAGAAGTACAGAGCTCTGTCTCCAACATCTTGTGGCATCTACCAGTTTATCTAATGAGAGGGCTTATTTTTTCCAAAGATTAAGATACACAGAGCTGAAGAACTACAGTGATTAAAGGTATCTGATTAATATAAATGGGTCACAGTGTTATGCCTTCTTTTCTCCTTCTGCTTAGACTCAATTCCTTTGTCCAAGAATCTGTACCATTAGCCTCCTCCCCTTCTCCCCACTAGGACATCTTTCTTAAATCCAGCTTCTCTGAAGTAGATAGATTGGGGAAAAGGACACAAAATGCCTATATATTCTTAGGCAGAGTGTTTATAAAATGTGGATCGAGGGCAAGGAGGAATTTGCCCAAATTAGTTCCTTGTTGCTCTGTATCCACCAGATCATCCCCTTCAAAGGGAAAAGGGAGTCCTTTCATTCACAGATGAGTGAGTTATATATGCTATCCTTTTTCCTTGTTTTGGTAATAATAAAGATAAGGGGATAATAATAAGAATTATTATCTTTATATTGGCACCTCTGTTAAAAAAATAAGCTTAATTCTCATTTCTGAGAAAGCATATTCTTTTTCATTATCATCAAAATCGTTAGTTTTTTAAAAGTTCATTTAAAAGTTCATAAAAATGGCATTTGCCAAGGCTGATGTAATAGTTCCTCTTTCATTATGCTGTTATTTTATTTTGTTTCCCCAAATTATTTTAATGTCATACTGAAGAACCTTAACACTATAAAAAACAAATATCTGACACTAGCTAAGGATCTGAAAATACAAAAGAACCATTCAGTGGAATCCCACCTGGCTCAGAAAACAACTAAACTGTGCCTCTCTTTGACTGATGGTGAGGTTTATTAGGAAAAGCGATTAATTATCACTACAGATTACCAGCTCTTGCATTAAGATGTGCAGGAGATTGGCATACAAAAATGTGTGTGAAATGGTGAAATTCACTGCCAATTTCAGTGAAACAGATATATTTATTTTATTTTTATTTTTAGAATGAAGTAATTGGTTCAGTGATATAGCCAGAACAGATATTTTCTGTATAACTTGATTCTTTGCAAGTGTTATATTGGAATATTACAGTTGCTGAGGATTCTTGAGAGAGTCAAAACTTGCGTTACACCAGTGATAATTAATCTTGCACCAAGGTGTTTATGTTTTCACTGTCATCTACATGCATTAGCACGAGGTTCATGTGCAAACCGTACATTAAATTACACACTGTATAAATCTTTTCATTAGATACCAGTCCCCTTGTCCTTACTTCTTGAGACTAACCTTTGATCTTCCAGTCAGTAACAAAAATAATTACGATTTCTGTCCAACCTTGGTTGATCTATGTAATTCAGAAATAGCTGCACAGCTGGAGACAGATGTTCATGTCTCCATTGCTAAACTCTAGAGAGGCTTGCACTATTATTTATATCACCCTTGTTATGAGTTTATCAGCTTCCATATGTCACTCTGTAAATGCATGATATATTCTGCGAATTTCAAGAAATAATGACATTGCAGAAGTGGAAGGAGATGAAACAAGAAAAGGGAAAAATTAAAACTTTCCTGACATTTAATACTACTTCACGGAATAGAGCTTTATACATTAAATGGTAAATTCAGGTGTTATCTTTCATCTCTAAAAACTGTTTCAAGATTATTTCACTGACTAGCACTTGCCTAATTTAGCAATTTATCGAAGAAACCTTAGAATAAGAAAAAAGGGAATCTCTTAATTCCTTACAAACTAGGAAATCTAGTCTAGGGGCCCAGGAGAGTATTAAAAGGAGCCTACAAATTTTGGGACAGGAAATTCTAAACAGGATTCTTCCCCCACTCAAGATCCTGGAAAAAATATTCCCAGTCTTTCCAAGTCAAAAATCAGAGCAGTTATGGGTGGGGCCAAAACTATAATTGGGTGGCAATTATATAGTCTCTTCTTTTGGTCTCCTTTTCTTTTCTCTTTTCTGACATTGTATCTAATACTTTTCTAATAGTCTCTCTTCCCTCAAATAAGTTGGCAATCTAAATTGACTCAAGTCAGTTGGGAGTTATTCCTTAAAGAACAGTTAGCTTTGAAATAATGATACATACTTTCCTTTAATTTGCTGCATATTTAGTTAGCACTTGGGGAATATATTAAGTAGCTCCAATGGTCAGTAAGGAGTTGGGAAGTTTAAACTAATTAAAACTAGACTCAGTGCACTTATCTTAGCTGTTGACTTGTCTGTGAGGTGGTGGTGTTTTTTTTTAACACGATTTATTTTTCCTCAAAATGGAAAGACTCATGAAGCATGTTTTCTTAGTTACTGTAAGAAATATGCCTGGACACATACAGCATGCAACTCCACTCCCAATAGTGGAGCATGTGAAAATATCTGTGCCAATTTTCTCTGCTTTGCAATCAAACGACGATAGCTATACACCAGAGGAGCATTTCCCCCTCATCTTTCCTTGTTTAACTCTTGGTCTAATTTTAATTGGTTAGAATTGTAGGATTTTTTTGATGCCCTAAGCTAAACTTCTATCCGTGTAGGTATGTGTTTATCTGTATGCTTTCTGAGCAAGCTTTCCTCAGTGGAACACTCCTTTTGTGACAGGAACCAAATCTTTGGCTCCAACATTGTATTTTTAATAAAGGGCTGTTTTAAGAGAACACAATATTTCTAATCAAGATAATGTAATCCAGGAGAAAAGGCATAGCAAACAAGCTACTATTTCAGGTTTATTAGGTCATAAAATATAGACTTATATTTCAACAGAACATAATATAATCTTCCATTTCATGTACTTAAAATGGTACACCTTTATTCAAAAATATATTATTTAATGTACCCCAAAATACACTTCAACCTTTATTTAAAATAAATTCAGCTCCAAACACCATCACCTTCCATCTAAGTCCTAAACAAATTCCTTTTCTTTCTAAACATTTCCCAAATTAATTTTAAATATTCCTTAAAACAGCAATTTGGAGGAGGTACCTGTGCTGCAGTAGGTAACTGCAGTTTAATTGAAGCTGTGGTAAATTAAGATAAAAAAACGCCCTCATGTCAAGCTCCATTCCTGGACAAATTAAACAGAGTAAAAAGCAATGCATTTCTTGTGTTTCTCTGAAGCACAAGAGCATAGTATTTCAACAGATTTAACAAAATTAAAAATATATATAATTGTTTCAGATGTTGTTAAAAAGGAGATAAATTCATTTTTCCAAAATGTCCTCACAGCTGAGCACATTATTCTGTGCTTCCCCTATTCCATACTATGAGAATCTTACTAAATAATGCTTAAAGGAGAGAAATACAGTGCAACTCCAGACAAATATGCCCTTTGTTTTCAACCAAGCTCGCCATTATCCAGCAGCAGGTCCCATGGAACTCTCTGGGACTTACTTCTGAGAAGATATGGATCGAGTGGTACTGTTCATGGAGTAAGTTAATGGATCTTTTTCTTAAATCCCATAATGCCCTGTGGAAACTGAATGCATTTCCATCTCGTGACCTCCTGCTTAGAAGGCTCATAGGGTGTTTTGGTCTATGAAGGTTGACAACGTTTTGCAGCAGTGTTAGAGATGATGGACCAATCACATCTACCTGAGGTAAGAAGGCTATACTATATTTCCCCCCTCCCTTCTCCCACCACACAAAGTCAGAACCAAATGTGAGCACAGGCAACCGGCAGCATCCACAGAACACCCAAAGCTTTGTGTCTCCAGAAAAAGCTGCAACCCACGAGCAAAGAGAAGGAATATGGCTCCGAGGATTACACTGATTATTCTAGACAAAATAGCTGCGACAATTGTGTGCGATCTTTCAGCCCACTGCATTTAGCTACCATGTGTTTATTTAAACACAGTTCAACTTACTTTATCTAATGGGGCAGAACTTCTAAAAGGAGAATTGTATTTAGCTAAGCATTTAAAAAAAAACACAAAACCTTTTCTCAGTGCTTTTTCTAAATAAATAGCCTGCCAAAGTTTTCATTGGCACAATGTAGCCAAATGTATTCAATTTCCTTTAACAATATAAAATAGTCACAGGAGTTCTGGATTTTCTACCTTGAGAGGAAGGGAGGGAGGGAGGGTGGAGAGAGAATATACAAAGGCTTTATTTTATAAAATGAAATAAATCTCAGTATGATTACTAAAAATTTGCCTTCGATGTTCTACTACATACTAAGATAAACCTATACAATAAAGCATTTGAAATGACATTCATACAAAAGAACCTATATACCTTTAAATAAATAAAAGCTACTATGTACATTATACTGTACATGAAAAGAGATGTGACATAAATGGGATTAAGTTACTGTATCTAGTATTCTTATTTTCTCCATGAAAAAAAGAAAAAGAAAATAAAGGGGTATCTTTTGGCTGTACTGTACATTCTAGAGCTGGAATCTAAATTTGTCGCGTCTTTTTCTTTTTTTTATTTAACTTGTCCCCGCCCATCTCCCCACAATGGGGGACTCTATTTTCCTTTTAATTTTCTCAGCTCCCTAAAAAAATGCCACTGCACGGGTTTCTCTTAATGTTGTTTATGGTTTTCTTTACTCGACTTTTGTGACAACCACATTTCCTTCCCCAAATGTCTACAAATGAAGCCGCACCTAGAGGGTGGGGAGGTGGCAAAAAGAGGACCTGACCGCAGCCTTGCGTGTGTTGTGACAGGATACCATGCGGGTGAACTGATCCTCTTCTTGGAGAAATATTGTGAAATGGTCACTCCAATTTCTCTATCCCAAAAAAGAAAAAATAGTTAAAAAAAAAAACTGGATAAATTTGAGTGTCCACTTTGCGGCATTCTTTTTTACCACCTAATTCTAGTGGCAACCACACGATCGCACCACCATGTTTCTGTACTTTTTCAGAATAACGTTGGAACTGTCATCAAAATAGAGGACAGAGATTGCATTCAGTTTTGTTGGAGCACAGCAAGGCTTTGGGACGTGATCAGGGAACATCAAGTGGACCTGAAAGTCAAAGACAAGAAGATACAATGTGATTTTACTCATACAACGATCAATTGTAGTTACTCATATAATTAGCAATAACACACAATACTTTTTTGCTTGGAGAGTCATAGTCACATTGTTCTGATTTTAATGTTTTATACCGAACAGCGTATCATGCTTTTACTAAGAATATCAACAAACTCCAAAATTTGTCTTGTGGCTACTTATAGGTTTAGTGAGGCTTAAATTACATCTATATCATTAAAGGCAAAAAGTGTTATGATGGATAAGACTTAGCACAGGTAATTGTTTATCTGAGTGCTAGTCTGTGAAATCATATGACACCATATTCTGCTCATATAGTCATAAATGAAAGAAGATGATAATCTCTTGATTCCCATCGTTTTAAATATCCAGGATAGCATAATTGATAAAATACTAACATTGTGCTAGAAACCTGGGGTCAAATCCTCCCTCATCCATGAAGTTAATCATGCAGACAGGACTACAGGATTTATTTCCTTTTGTTTTGGTGTCTTCGAGACTTTACTGACTCCTGGCAACTGCCTGGACTTATCCCTGCAGTTTTCTTTGAAAGATTTTTGGGAGAGGTTTGCCCTTGCCTTCTTCCTAGGGCAGAGAGAGAGCGACTGGTCCAAAGTCAGCTTTCACGCCTAAGGCAGGACTAGAACACCCACCCTCTCAGTTTCTGGACTGGTGCCTTAAACCACTACCCCAAATTTTAGTCTGACAATAATTCTTACACTTCCTGTGCTTCTTGTGAAAAAGTGGTAGGTGGGATACAAAGACAAGCACATTCACCTCTATTGGGACAAGCACATTTTAATTATAAATAGCTTGTTCTGGGTGGAGAAAACTGCTAACATTTGCGTCTTTGCCTCATTGCGTGTATTAACGTACTTTAAACCAGTAGTACGCAGTAGCTCAATTGTTCTACCCTCCCTTTTTTAGAACACAGCAGCCAAAGTTAACAAAAATGAGAATGTCCTAGCTAAGCCAGCCTTTCATATTCTTTCCTTTCTGTCCAACTCAGTATTTACTTTTACCTGCTGCCTTAGAGGATAATCTAGCACATAAAATCAGAAAAGATGAAGGTTTTTGGAGCAAGTACATAACTGTGCTCCATTCATTTCACCAGGAGTGAAGTAAAGCCCCAGCCCAGAGGCTTGCTTCTCAGAAGAGGCACTCAGGAGTGCAGAGGAGGAGGATGAGAGAGAGGCATTGAGTGAAACAGGCTTGGATAACCATGAGGGAGGCAACACTTCTGGACATGACTGGGAAAGGTACTGGGAACACTGGAGGAGAAAGGAAAGGCAGGGACATTGTACTTGTAATCAAGTTAGAAATATTATCCTGCATATGTTGGGTATGCTGGAAAGAAAGGACGGAACTGTAAGAGAAAGGACAACAGATGATTAAAGCCTGAATAAAGGTTTCAGCATTAACAGACTTCATTTGTTTTTGCTAAGACTGTTAAAAGCTGTTGTAGCCGTTTTTTCAGAAGCGTTACAAGCCAGCACAGGCCATCAGGAGACAGCTTTTATAGAGCCGTTACCAAGAAGAGATAGTTTGCCCTGTGGAGATCTTTCTAGAATAAACCAGAAGCCCAAAATAAAAATTTAACATGAGAATGTTTTGATCCTTTAATACATCATAGTTAAAAGAAGATTGAAATGGTTGGGAATATGTGTCTCTGGTTTTATTTGATGCCACAATTGCTGCTTGTGAAGCCATGTAAAATATGACTTTCATTTCAGAATTTCTCAGACATTCTCTTCTGGTGATGGAACAGATTAATAAGAGTATTTGTCAGTAGTGAGGCTGCCAGAATTTAAAGAAAAAATAATGCGGTTAGTGTACAATTCTTCCCAGCTCTTAAATGGCTAAGTGCAGCTCCTTTGACCTGAAATTCTTCCTCTGCTTAAAACTGAATTGAAGAATTAAACTCCACATCTACCATACTAAATGTTCACAGCCAGAAGCCATGATTAGCATATCATTAGAAGTTGGTTAATAGAATACCTTACAAAAACTAAGATTAATTGGATTCTTCTCTTTTCTTTTGGCACTGGAGTGTAATTCATAATTGAATACTTTATGTAAGTTCAATCAACTCTACCAGAAATGCCCAAGTTTACAACATCAAGCATACGCTCAGGGCCATACATCATCCATCTGTACCCTGACTCTGTTGTAGGTAGGAAGGGTGAAAGGAGATGAAACCTATAAAAGTATGCTAAATAAATAAATTTATTTAGATATACAGTATATATATCTCTCTCTCTAAATAACTTTATTTATTTAGATAGATATAGATATAGATATAGATATAGATATAGATATAGATATAGATAT